TCAACAGGCAATGTGTGTTAAATCAAACTCCACGAGCCAAGAATGAAATTTAAATTTATATTGAAAGAGTGTGAGGCATTAATGTGTAAACTCATACTATATTTTGGCCTCTAAATTAAGTTTACAGATGCTACTGAGTCTGACAGTTCATAATGAAGCACCAGGAGTGTCCAAAGCTAAGATAACCCTGACAATAATTAGCATTTGTCAATTGCATTTATTTTGACCACAGAAGCAGACTATTTCAACATGCAAATTATATTTGGATAAATACAAAGAACTGTTTGAAAATCCCCACTGGTGCAACTCAGGGTTTTTTTCTGTTTTTCAATCTATCCTAAACCCACTTGCCTTTCTTTTCCTACAGCAATCTAAAACATCAAAATATGGCATGAAATGAAGAGTAAATCTACATCAAAATCTGATATTAAAAATATTTGCCATTCAGAATTAGATCAAGTAAAATTTACTATTACCCAAGAGGCTCCCATAAAACAGCTTCCAAAATTTACTGCAGAAACTAAGTATGTACCTTCACCACAGAAGAAGAAAGCAAGCTCAGAAATGGAGGAAAACATTGTATATTACTGTTAAAGCAAAAGGAAAGATCAGATGCCTTGCATCTGTGCTGTGCACCAAAGTAAGAGACGTGCAACAAGGGGTAAACAAACACTTAGCCAAAGAGCAATGACAGAATGCAGACACACTTCTTAAACTGTATGCCACACGCTGTGTACAGCAGCACTGGGCTTTTTTTGATCATTTCTCTTTAGAAAAGACAAGAGAACAACACCATACCTACTCAGCTTTCAATTTCACATAACTTCAAAAGTCACCCTTATACAAGTCACAATTCTTTTCCATGCTAAATCATGCACAGCTTTATAAAACTTCAACAGTGTTTTTTAAAGCTGATTTTAAATTCTCCATTTACTTTTTAAATGTTCATTTCTGAAGAGACAGTCTACTCATCACCTGCAACTCTCTGTTCTTGTATGTTATTATATATTGAGCCAAGATGTGGTTCTGTTCAGTCACACACTCTGTTATAAAGTAGTTGTGCACACCCTGGTCTGTGTGACACTGCCACAAATATGAGTAAATAATCTGATTTGCAAGTATGGTGGTCACATGACAAAGAATTTAAAAATGCCAAATATCTTCAAGTTGGTGGCATCCCTTTACTTTCTTCTATTCAATGTACATTGAATAGAAATAGGATTTTTAATGTTTAACCAGTAGAGACAAAAATATGCTTTTTGGTTTTATTTAAAATAAGCTATTAAATACTGCTGCCAAAAGAAATCCTATTAGTCAGAATTCTTTGAAAATTTATATCTGAAGAAATAAAAATTCCTTTAATAAATATTTCAGCCCAACCTGAAAAAGGCATTCAGGAGATAATTAAGACATATATATTGCTGAAAGATGCAAACATTCAGAAAAATTACACCATTTTTAGGATAAGGCAATTAAAAAATGGTACAAACTCTGTGTTATGTTGATTTTAAATATAAGAGGTGATAAAAGTAATTTCCTGTATGACTAACAATGACAATGCTTCTGCTTTTATAGAACCTGAGAAACAAAATAGTATTTACATTGATTTCCCTTTGCTTTTCTGGACTAATTGTCTTTCTATTCCTATTAACAACCTTTTCAGTGGTTATTATCACAATGATTATAACATATGCTTTGTATGGGGAAAAAAGGTACTTTCAGAAGGTGGGAAAATTAAGAGCACTGAAATAAAACCTAAAGCCTTTTACCTTTCTGTCTCTTTTACAAATAGTCATTTGAATACTCATTACTGTAATTATTAAAAGATTGCTCAGTAAGATGTGAAATTATTTGTTAGTCTCAGTCAGCTTCCCACTGGGCAGATGTACACTTGTAATGGTTTTCACTGCTATGGCACCTCAATATCCAAAGAAAAGGGTGATATGACAAACCTTTAGCAAATGGAACAATTCCAGCATTGACCTGAAGCTGGTTCTGCCAGCTGAGACAGGATCAGTCTCTAGAGCTGTCAAGCTGTCACACTTCACTAACGCTGACTTCAGTGAAACGTTAACAAGGAGAGGGCAGCAGACAGCCTAATTTAATGGTCAGCCCCCACAATGCAGCTTCTCCACGAGGCACAAGTGCTTGTGCAGGGCTCTGAGACTGCCTCTTGAACAAAGATGCTTTTGCTGCTTCCCACACAGCCCTCCCACTCTGAAGGGAGAGAATAATAAACTGCTCTCCAAGTCTTTAAAGAGGCTAATTATCCATCTCCAATAATATTTATTACATTTATGCCTCCTTTAGCTAAATGATCAAACAAATCCACCGAGTTAGTTTCTCAATTTAGCAACTAGGTAATGCAAAGAAGCACAAGCCTTATCTTTCGTAATATCATTAGTTCACACTGTATCTTGATAGCAAACATGATAACATCAGCTAAACCCTCTGTTTTTAAAATGTTCAAAAAGCTGGAAAACATGTAAGTATGTTTCTAATTTTGCCAAGCATGCATGCTCAATACATGCTAAAGAACCCATTTCTGGAAGTTTTGTTCATGCAAAAGATGGAACAAAAAAATAAAGAAGTAAGGAAGCAGAACTCAATACAGATTAAATAACAATGGACAAGAACAAAGCCATTTTCTCCAGACCGACCCTGGATTTCTATTTGGAAAGCAAACTTGCATCTGAAGAAAGCAGTGGTGTTTATGCAGAAATTGAAACATGCTTGAAACATTTTCAAGCTATTATAACATTCCTCATCTACGAGTTTGTTGAAGAATGACTGCAACATGAGCAAAGTTACAGATGACTAAAGAATAATACACTAAATAAGATGTGTTTCCTTGTAAGGTGACTAAGACTAATAAAACCAAAAGTCACAGTAGTTTCCTTTTCCACCTTCTTTCAAAGGAAATGCACCCACACAAAACTGGTGCCTCAGTCAAGGTTGCCTGAGGCTGACAGTCTCTTATTTAAGAGACTGGAATTATAAGGCTGACTACTGGAATTATAAGACATATCTCGAATTGTTCTTACACCTGTTAAGTATTCCTCTAGTCTCCTTTTGACTCAAGAAAGCCATGGGACCTGTGATGCAGGAAAAGAAACCAGTCCTGTAAAATTAAAACCCAATATCATTTCACGTATCCTAGCAGTGTCTCTCTTATGCTCAGATGTTGCAAAGCTACAGCTTTTCATGCCCCATCTGGGCAAACCTGCCACAAACAAAACATCTTCACCAGGGCTCCTTCTCTCACTCACAGAAAATTCTATAAGTGGCTGGCAATAATATATGTGTGCAGGTTTTGTAAATTTTTTAGAGGCAAAATTAAAATATTCTACACTGTTTATCCCAAGGAAGCCACAGATTATTAATGAAAGAATCGTAATGCAAATACAGTATCTCACTTATGCATGAATGCAAATCAAAGAACAACTTTCATGCAAATTAGATAATGCACTTTAAATTTACTAAACTAAGATACATATGTTGTCTCTGAGGAAAAACAGAGAAATTATTCCACTAACACCATGACTGTTCAAGGCATCTTCAAAGGATAAAGAATAAGAAAACCAGAAAGGAAACAGAGTTGCAAACCACCAAATACTTTCTGTACCAAAGTAAAAGACAGAGTGCTTAGAAAATACAAATTGCAAAAACCAACACAATTCTGTACACTGCTCCAAAGATATGATCATCAAGATCTGTAACAGTCTCTTCCACACCTTTGAAAGGAACCAAGCTGAAGAAAATAAAAGCATGCTAAACAATGTGATGGATTCTTTGAAAGAGGAGACAGAAAGCAAGTAATAAGCAAAACAAGAAAGAAGAAAGAAGAAGTTATTCAAGCTGTAATACACAAAACACATCCTTCCAGTGAGGGTGAAAAATAGCCACAATAAACAACAGAGAAAACTCTTCCTAAATCACAAATTCATCAAGCCAGTAAGAACACAGGGAATTACATATCTTATCATTCCTTGTCTGCTGTGTTTGTCTTCATCAAAAGCAGACTGCATTGTTTTTTTAAAACTGCAAGAGTCTACTTCAGCATGGTCAACAAAAGCAACTAATGGGAAATACAAATGTAAAGTGATGCTATCACTCCTAGTTTTATGAAGCTAGGATTGATGAAAAAAGTAAGCTGCACTGAACAACTGTAGGAACAAAGTGAAGCCATTTCAGAATTCAAACAAAAATCAGACATCAGCAAAATTTACAAGACATACAGAATTAAAGTAATTTCCATCACCTCTCTGTCCCAGAGGACCCAGTGCACCACCATAACCACTGACACTCCTGAAAGCAGTGCAGAGTTCTGTGGGGAAAGGGCACAACAATCCCTTGAAAATCAAGAGTCTAATGACCATTTCTATGTTAAATCAGGACATTTAGGTGCACTGTAGTAACAGAAATTATCAATAGCCACTGTACTTTAAAAAGTCCCTAATAAAGCCACAAGTCTAACTGCATAATTTTACTGCCCTTATGTACATTATTCAATTAAATTCTACCTTAGCAAAAACCTCTGCGCCACAGTCATGTTTCACCTCATTGCTTAAAACCCTGGGAGTTAAAGGCCTTCCTGCTTTGCTATTGACACATGCAACCTACTAGGTACTCTGTCTAAGAAAATGGGTATGAATCACTCTTTTATTTTATTCTCTTTATTATGTAGTATGTACAGAGAAGGGAATTTTCTACTACAAAACTCAGCAAGTTTTGGCAAGACTGTCTTTCCTTCAAGAGTTACAGCTGACTTCTCCATCTTTTCAAAACTCAGCTTAAAATAAAGCAACACAACTGTAATGATAACATATTGAAGATCACTGATAATGTTTCCAATACCACACAACTGATAAAACAATTTCTCAGCCTGCTGGAAAGAAAAATAAAAGTAATTTTTGACTGGTGCTTTAAAATAAGATTTTTCTAAAGCTACCGAACCTAATGAATTACAAATCTCTCAAGCAGTCAAGCAACATACATACCTGCAATTGGAATATTCTGTGATACTGACAGCTGTACATCTCCAGTCCCAGGTGGCATGTCAATCACTAAATAGTCCAGTTGACCCCAGTCAACCTAGAAGACAACAATATAAACATATGTGGAGATTTACACATTTTTATTTAGGGCACTTTGTGGTTTAGTGCAGTCCTTGTTTCTTGTAATGTAAACAAGTGAACCAAGGACCTCTAAAAGAATAATACTGAGATGGCCTCTTAGTCACATCTTCAGCACAGGATCGAGACCTTATTTTCCTGAGACAATCTTTGCTGATGACTCAAAACTATGAGTGCAACTTTATCATTCACTTCATTGGCATAATTATTATTTAATAATTTCCCCCAAAAATATTAGCTTAAACTTAAGATATTTACTTTATGCTCTTTCATCATGGATTAGAAGCAAATGTTAGGTAAAACTCAGGCTAAAAACAAGGGGTTTGTGCAACAAATATCAGGTAAATGTTATTTCCATTCATTTAAGACTACCTTCCTTCCTTCTTATCGCTTGTTCAAACTACAGTTTATTTACTACATACATATTGAGCCTTTTTTTCTGTTTTGTTATTATGAAGTTAGAGCTATCAGTACTGTATTTTTTTCCTAGGCAAAAAAGGTGTTGGGAAAAAGAAAAATAAAGAAGCAGAATGCCCCAGATTTGTTAAATTAAAATCACCAGCTATAATTACACAGTGACAACATTCTTAACATTTCAAAATTTAAAAAGTTTAATGGTTGCCAGACATCAAATGAGAGCATCCATTAAAGATTTTAGACTCTTGTTATGAGAATGCTGAGATTGCTTACATTTTTTTACTAGGACAGATTTTCCAGGAAAGCCAAAAAAATCTCCCTAGAGTATAGTGCACCAAGATAATCATTCTCTTAATGAGAACAGAAATTATCCTAGGCCTACTCTACATAATGGAGTATATAGTATAAATATAGTATATAGATAGTAGTATATATAATGGAATTCTCTATACTTTATCTAAACATTTCCCAACAGATATAATGGAATTATGTGGTATGTTTCTGATTCATAAAACAGATGCAAGATGCAATTGCATGAGCTGGTTTAAAACAGGAAAATGCCAAACTAAAGCATTGTATTTTACACATTTCCTCAAGTGTCATTTTAACAGCAAAAAATAATCAACACTTTGCCAGTCCCCTAGTTATTGCATGGAATACTAGTCCTGTCAGGGCAATACTCATTCATTTTCATTCAGTTCTTCTATGGATGATGATCTTCTAGGGAAGCACATCCTACATGAAATCCAGATCACTAACCCACTAGACACTCCAGTGAGAAATGGAATTTTTCAAGGCAGACTAAGGAAGAAGGAACATTTCAGAGCATTTATGAGAGAACAGGAACGGAAAAGCTTAGCTGAAAATTCTAGCTTTAGGTGTCTAGATTAGGGACTCTCGGCACTCCTCCCTTTTCTCGTTTTCTATACAAAGGCTGCAGGAACACTAAACCATGCCTAAGCCAGTCTAGCTAAACAGGAAATGCCATTTCTGTTAACCACAGTAAATGCTGCATTTTTTCACATTTGATACTGATCTATGTCATTTATAGTATCCACATTTTGTCAAAAAAAATTGCATACATCTAGCAGACTAAAATCAATTACCATTCCTAATCATATTGAGATGACGTATCTCCAAAGAAAAACTACATATATATGCAAAAATATACATACTGAAACAATTACGGGTAGAGGAGCCATTTTTTCTGAAAAAAAGTCTGTTTTCAACTCTGGTTTTCTTAACTAATCTTGCTTAATTATTCACCAGATAAATGCCAGTGCCAATTAATGCCTCCTTGTCCAGTAAAAACTACTTTGCTCACATGCAGGTATGAATTTCAAATTTCTATGTTTCTTAATTAAAAATCAACCATTATAAAGGTGACAATTTGAAATTAGTAGTTTACTAATTTCAACAAATTAAAAATGAACAAAATCACATTCCTTGAAGATTTGCAACTAAACACACAGATCTCCTGTAACTAACATGCAAAAATCTCAATATGCAAAATCTGGATCTTCCATAATAATCAGAACCTTTTTGAAATGCTAGGTAGGCATAAGCAGTTTTACTTTTTAAAAAGGATTAATGGATTAATTCAAAATACCTCCTCACCCCCCCCCCCCCCCCATCTTCATGAAGCTTGATTCTGGCATCTTTTGTTAAGTCCATATATACATATAATAAATAATATAATTCCAGTAATCATATTCTTTTTCCTTAAATGCTCCTACAAAATAGAATCAATAAACTGGTTTATTGCTTTCTGCCTTGCAGCAAGATTCAGTCTGGAAACACATCTATGAGTGGCATGGCACCACTATCATTCTAACACAGTTTCTAATCACTTTGTCTGCCAAAACCACTTGGTTCTTGGGTATATTCTTGGAAAAAAGCTGGATATTTAGTAGTTTTCAGCCATTTCTTCCAGGAGCTCACATTCAAGTCCTTTTAGGTACAGCACTGCCTCATGGAGTCGTACAAAACAATCCAAATCCCACACTTATCAGAGGTAACTGGAAAGGAAAATGCATTCTTCTCGAGCTAAATAAAAGCTGTCTGGTTTTGCATATACTTGCAGGTCCTAAATTTAAGCTGGCTCCTCCTGTGAAAAAAAGTGACTTTCTGGGCTCGACCTAGAGCTTTTCTTTTCAGCCTTCCCAAATGTTTTGCTCTTCCTCCAACCTCTTCAAGCACTAGTATCCTTCATCAAGTTCCATGTGATTGCCCAATGTATCAAGCATTACAGTTATGCAACACTACTGGAGGTGACAGGAAACACTAGCAGCTCAAAGCCTTTCCTAGACATTCAGATTTGTGGGCATACACAAAGTTTTGCTCAATAACATACTTTCAAAATTTACCCTGTATTGTAAGGGCACCAGAGCTTTCCGCCTCAGACTTTCTTAGTAAGTGTCCCCAAAACAGCCAACGTGCCCCTTCTGGATTGTCCTACAAATAATGATTTTTTTAATAAAGTTATAAACCTTTGAAAACTGAAGTTAATAAAGGAGTCTTAAGCACATGGTGAATCTCATGGTAAATCTCATTGCTAGACAACAGGAAAAATACCCTGTTAACACATAGTGTAATTAAATTATAACGCTTTATTTAATTTATGGCAGTGTAAACATCTTATTTCACATATTTTCTTCAAATTCATGGATTGAAAAGAAAAAGAAATGAGCTGCCTATCAAATAAAGTGTAGTCTGTTTTACTGCTTACAAACTTGACCACAGAAAAATTGAGAAGCTACACCATTCTAGCAGAAGTGGAGAGGACATCTTGCCACTGAGGAGAGTAGGTAGCAGACAAGATTTTGTGCCTGTCAAGTTCAGAAGTTCAGAAAAATCCACAGCAAAGATGCCAAGGTCCCTAAATACTAAATATATAAGAGCACCACCCTCCACAAACCTCTCTGAGCCATGCTATTGCTGGTGGTGCTGAACTGGTGATAATGGGGTGGCAAACTAGATTGGAAAACCACTTCTAATCAAAACTAACCATGTTTTTTATTTTGAATGCATTCAAGTAATTATCCTCAAAGTTTCATTGTCCTCTTTTTCATTTGTAATTCAGGGCAAGAAGGGAGAACTGCACCAAAATAATATAGCCAAAATTTCTGGAAAGAACTGATCTAGTCTATTTGCCTGGTAGTGAGTAGTAGTGTCTAGACATATAGATTTGCTCAGACTTGGACTGGGGAATGCTGCATGTAACCCCATTTCTCACTGTGGGCTTCCTCTTATTTTCTTCTATTCTGCAAGGATTGGATGTCATTCAGTTGCTCCTCCATTACCCTCCCACAGGAATACAGCAGTATGAAAATCTTTTTATTAAACACATTATTGAATGTAATTTGGACAATTTGTTATGGAAGTGTACACTTTATTTAACGGAAGAAGAAATTATGAGTATGTTACTAAACTGCAGCATAGTAGAAAGAAAGAGGAGAAAGACATTTTTAATTAAATTTAGAACTGGAACATAAAATCAGGAGTGGCTGTTTGAAATCTACTTTTGCCATTAATTCAACATTATTAAAATTGCACAAATAATCAGGCTGTGCTATAAAACACTACTTTGAATGCAATTCCTGTTTATATGCAACAATTTACCAATTCGGGACCAATGTCGTCATGTTCTCAATGAGTTCCAAGAAGTGTGTGTGTATGCAAATGCGGTTTCACACAGGAAAATGAGCTCAGATTAACAGCACATTACAGTAGATGAGTTCCCTTTGCAAGCAATAGGCAGACAGGGCTACAAAAGCCTGCCTTGTAGCATCTGAAATCTGTCAGCACCTTTGCATGTACAGAGGTGTTAATGTCTTTGCCCATCTAATGTATACAGTGTGTAAAACATTTCAAAGCATAGAAATGTAATTGCGTTTTCCTTAAGCACAGCATTCATCTTTTTTTAAAAAGGTTTAACTTGACATTTATTGTTAAGCAAAGTAATTAAGTGCCATGTGCTTCTGTGTACTTTCCCTTGCTCAGAACCCCCAGGAATGCTTCTATGTAAATTACTTTAATCAATCATTCTGTTTATGTGACAATCCATAATCAAAATACCAGATATGCATTATGAGTAGGGGTTCTAAATAGCAAGTTAAACCCAAGGTAGAACACAGAGATATAGATGACATTTCTGCTGAGGAATGAAGCCTCTGTGCATGAGGCAGAGATGGTAAAGCATTAGAACAGAAGAGGGATTGCTACTTATGACTTTGAAGTAATCCTCATGTTTGGTTGTTTAGTAAATAACAGAAGATATTATTTATTTGTTCTTATTAAGAGGAATACATGCAGAGCTGCAATCAAGAGTTATGCAGGTGCAGACTTGGCAGCAGCCAGCCAAACTGAACACCAGTATCAGAAAAACAGCATGAGCTACACTGCAGGCAGCTTAAGTTCTATTCCTGCCAGATCCACTCTCCTCTCCTCACACTACTTTGTGTGTATGTTAATGATTTAATACAGGCAAACAGCTGAGCAAAGTAAAGGTGAGAAATTGTGCTCCTACGTGAAGATTTATAT